CAATAAACTTTTTAAATTTACGATGAAAAAAATTACTTTTAAAATAAATATTTTTAAAACTTTGATAAACACTCTCTCAAAATGTATCTCGATATCAAAGCAGACCGGCCTCCATAATATTTGAACGTTAAAGAGAAATTCGAGCAATGTGGACTGGGTGGGTGATGTGTCGATTCGTATCCAAAATTCTAAAGTTGATTATTAAAGACAATGCTCTGTAAGTTACCAAGAGAGTGAAGGTGTAAGGGCGAAAGCATCACATACAAGGAAACCGTCAACTAGAAATTTCATTGCCTGGGGCCAGGTGCAAGTGTAGCAATTTAATTGATGGTGCTTTCCGCATTAAAAAAAAAAAAATTACAAGTCCAAATTCGGGTGATCAAATGTTGGAAGGTGGAGACTGTTGATTTTCTTGCTAAAATCGGATCTAATGCTATTGCAACACCATATGCTAATTCAAGAAGTGAAATGTAAGTCTAGAAAAACTGCGAAAGGTAAATTAGAGAGTCAAAAGATATTAACAATTTATCACATGTTTGGATTGACAAAAATTAAAGAAATTAAGGAAACAGTTTTCCTTGATTAAACAAGGGAATTCCTCTACTCTTTTTTCCTCTTTCACCTCGATTAAAAGATGAATTTTACTTCAAAGTTCAAACCCAGTCATAAACTGTTATTGCAAAAATTAGGGGCTTTGAAATGCCAGCTAGTCTCTAAGTACTTGGGTCTGGAAATGTCAGAAAAAGTAGAGTATACCATTACAGGTGATGCAGTCATAAGATAATTCTTGAAGGAATCGCTCACATTACTTGAAGGAAATGGGCGCTTGGCCGCATGGGAGCAAAATATGCAAGAGTTTGTTTTTATATCCTATCCCTATAAGACCATCAATATCAAATGATCGAGATTTCATAGAAATAAAAAAATAATAATTTTAAAAAAATTTTAATTAATGATATGTTTTTTTTTACTGATCAATGCTACAACATTTTAACAATTTTACTAAAAAATATGATTAAGTGGATGCATGTGCACGGCCATATTCTTAGTTAGTGAATCAAAAAAATTATATTCTTGAAACTTTTATAAGATATATAATAGGCTTGATGAAAAAAAATATATTATATCCTTAATTATAAAATTTTTAAAAAGTTGTATTTTTATTTATACAAAATCTTTTAAGTAGTCAACATCTTAAGATAATTTATTGTTTTATAAATTGAAATAGCCCTTGTATTCGTAATTAATAAATTTTAATTCATTGAAAAAGGCATTTTAATTGGTAACAATTTGTGTTTTTTCTTGTTGGATTGATATTTTAAATTCAAACTTTAACACAATTAAAGAGTATTTAAAAAAATATTTTTTATTATATAATCAATCACCAAATGATTTAAAAAGTGCTAATTAACGACACTTCTAATTAGTTTTATTTGTCTGACCTTACTAACCGGTGAGTCTAACAATCAGGATAAACACAGAAATATGATCTCATGCATACCAACAATCTGCATGCGCGAGTCACTGACAATCTTGATTCTAATTAATTAGCTGAAGTAATAATCGTTTGTCTTGAGCTAAGATTTCTGCATTTAGAAGGAGCAGGTAGGAAAAGTGGTACCAAGGCTTTCAAAATCAAAGAACCCATTTTTCTAAGGTCAACTGCAAAATGGCATCATTGGAAATTTGGCAAGAGTTAGTAAGCTAATCAACAACTATTAAAAAAAAAAACAGTTATTTTCCAGGATTAGAAACTGTTTACACCTAATTTTACAACAAATGAAGTGCTGCCACGTGTCACCTATGATGGCAGATATTTTATTAGTTGATGTGAATTTCTTCAGATGAGATTGAGTGGTTATTTCCACAACGGCAGCAAAACCGTTCTTTTGTTGCGAGCTTCCCGGAGGATAATTGCAGCACCAACAAATTAATCAATTTGTTGCAGATATTA